AATGACGGTGTTTGATTCCTTTTTTTACCAATTGTCGATGCTGTGTATATACATGTAGTGATGCCGATATGGTCATTTAATTTGTATTTCCGACTGTTTCATGTCCACAGCATGAGTGCATTGTTCTGTTGTGTTACTTGTTTGTGTGCGTGCGTGCAATGCAGTCTTACTTGGTTCTTTGGGGCCGTCTATCTCTCGTGCAAGGTGAGGTCTGCCGAACTATTGCCAGTCGCCTGAACAAGTGTGGAGCCGTTAATATTTGTATCCACTATCCACATTTACGAAACAAACTGAGATGTTGCGACTTTCGGCGGTAATTGTGGAATAAGTTGGCTGCTCCAAACATTGGAGCAGCCACCTTCTTCCACATTTACAAAACTTTCAAAGCGTATACAGCAACGACAGGAAGTTGTGTTGCAACTCCGAGTTTCTTGTTGTTCACGATCATCAAAATGGTTGTTTATGTTGATATCGAAATTGATATAGCACTGCAGGGTCTTTGTATTCTGATTTACTCATTATTCACTATACAGTCAGACCTCGTTTAACCGCACACATGCGTTTTCTACAAAAATAACCGGATATGTGAGGGAACCGGATAATCGAACACACATACTGTATATATGCTGTAAATCGGTAACCGATGATTTTCTTCCGGATGGGAAGGGATCTGGATAAAGGAGGACCGGATAAGCAAGGTCCGACTGTCCATGAATGCTTACTTCTACTCAAGTAGCACGGGAAAGCACTCATACTTCTCGCTTGAACAGTAGGTTTGCCATCAACTGATCCTGGTGTGTGTGTGTGGTGTTTCCCCCCTCCGTGTATCCATCTCCCAGGTCATTGTGCTGCTGCTGGTCGAGCTGATCATTTTCCCGCAGCTATGCGGCTTCTGGCTGCACATCTGCTGTCTGGTGAGTGCATGTCACACGATCCGGACGCTCACACACAGTGATTGTCACATGACCCAGTGGCTCACCTTGTATGTCACATGATCCAGTGGCTCGCTGTGTATGTCACATGACCCAGTGGCTCGCCGTGTATGTCACATGACCCGGTGGCTCGCCGTGTATGTCACATGACCACCCATTTGCTCCAATGTGTCCCGTGACCCGGTTACAGAGTGTGTGACAGTACTTAGTTTCTCACGTCTCACGCTATATGTCACATGACTCCGCTAATGGCAGCTACATGACTCTGTTCTTGGGGGGGGGTTGTGTCCTCATCCTCTTTTGTGTCACTGTCGAAAAGTGCAATTCCCACATACCGGTTGTGGCATGGCAGTCCACCCAAACCCTTCTGCTTACATAATTTGTACTTGAATGCACTGGGCTTGAGACTTTAGGCACATACTGTTTGTGCGTACGTGAACTCTTATTCCTATTCTCTTCTGTCCGGTGTTACTCCACGTGTGTGCTGTTTTGCTGCATGCCCGCAGGGTCTTCTTGGTGATACTGCGGAGGCCTTGGACCAACGCTACGTGTCTTCTGCCAGTAAGTGACTCTGGTTACTGTGTACTTATTACTGCTGCTGCTGTCGTCGTCGTCGTTGTTTTTCTCCACGGCCTCGCTAAAGTACGCATTGAACTCCTCAACTAATTATCATCAGGCAGTGCCTATTTTAGTGATTATTTTCACGAGTGAAATTATGTCGATAGTCCAAAAGTGCATGCTTGAAGTGTGCTTGCTCGAACACTGGCTGGCTGCTGACTGTTACATGCATAGACTTAGTACGATCACATACGTCTAGAACATGCCCTGCTCCATCTGGAAGTCGCCGGGTCAAACGATTGTTCAGAAATCGAGAACTCCTGTCAGCGGGGAAGAGCACTGCTTACAGCGTTGTGCCTGTGTTGTGCTCTTTGAGCATGGAAGAACCTTGACTACCGGTCACAGTGGTCAATCATTAAATGTCTCTACTCACGAGTTTCATGCTGGAAAGCGATCATCAGGAGACTCTGCTCTTTGAGCATGCGTAGTTAAACTTCGAAAACAATGACTGTGCATGGCACTGTCTGGTGTGTATATTCCTCAAACAGTTCTTCATTGTGCATGTTTCAATGGATGTAGGTTGTGGCAGTAATTGTTCTAGTGCTCTGTGCCATGTGTCACCATCTTCTTGTCTGTTGCAGCTTCGTTTTGCTTTGTTCACTGGATACTGGGAATGGAGTTTCTGTACTTCTTTGCCAGCTTCGTCATCGTGTCGCGAAAGGTACGGCGATACACACCGCCGAGGTTCTAGTGGGTGTTTTAGCCGCGCCGTGGGTAACAGGAGCTGGATACGGTGGAAGTACTCCTCAGTTCAGAGTACGCCGTTTGGTTTCTCTGATTGGACGCTGATCGCTTTTAAAAGTCTGTCTTCTCCCAATTGGGCTGGTATCTAAATCGCTAAAAATCTCCGTGCCAAATTTAGCCTCTTTGCAGTATGAAAGCTTAGCTCCGACCGCCAAAAACGTGTTCCTAGCATCTGAATGCATGCGGCAAGGCAATTATCACTCCTTATAGAAGAATTAATTCTTGAATTATCCTGCCTCTATGGTGCAGAATACTAGTAGGTGCTTTGATGTACGTTTGTAGTGGCTGAAAAGAAAAATTATCTCTTTGTTTTCTGCCACCGCCTTTCCTCCTTGTGTAGGTTCTGAGACCAGGTGTGCTGTGGTTCTTTCGCAATCTCAATGACCCTAACTTCCACCCGATGGAGGAGGTGAGTACAGGTCTGTTAGGATTGCCCTCGCCTTCCGGGGGGGGGGGGGGGGGCAGGCGAGTAGCCCACGGGGGGGGGGGGGGGGGAGCTGGTGACTTTGAATTTTTCTATCCAGTTGAAAGAGAAAAATATACAGGACAAAGAGGTTCAGCAGGAATCAAACCTGCGATTGTAAGATTCTGAGAAAAAAAACATGAGTCCAACCTATGCAATTATGAACACTGTACACTGGTGCCCTGTGTGATCTCTTTCACCGAGGCATGAAAAATGTTCAAGGTGAGCCGTCAACTATGACGACATTTTTGTGATTTGTTCTGAAACTTAATATTGTTATCGCGTGTGTGTGTGTGATGCATGTGAGCTCACACACACACGCACGCCTTCCTTCCTTCTTCCACTGCCATGGCTGGCTATGTGGCTCCGTCAGGGGCAGACTGGGAGGCGTGTTGTCCACCGGGTGAGGACCGCCAGACTCAGTGTGCGTGCGGGCTGCGCGAACAGCGTTGCTCTTATGCCTCGCAATGTCTAGCAACTGACGAAAACTGCACGCGCAGGCGTCACAGATGAGTGGCTTCGCCACAAGCCCCATACGGTACTGGACGATAGCGTCAACAGCGTCGCGGCAGGTGACCCGCCATCCCTGTTCATCCTGGTCACACACGCGCGCACACACACACACACACACACACACACACACACACACACACACACACACACACACTGGATTCTCGGTTTTCACTGACTCAGGTCAATCCTGGTTTTGCTGTGATTGCAGATAATGACGGCTCCGATTCTGATTCAGGTTCGCCATTTCCTCACTTCTTCGGTAAGTGCAGTGCTGGAGGGGGTGTGTGAATGCGATGTTGTTGTATATCTTATCTGCTTGTGGATGAACTGTTGGGACGGCTTTTCTTGGTCCAAGATAGTCACCAAGATCTAGATGGATACGTCGCCTCAGCAGCCCACAGTTCTATGTCACACCCAGCAGCCTTCCTTTTACCTACCGTTGGCTGAATTTCAATCATCGAGGTTCGTGAAGTATTTGTCTTGTGCAGTTAGCAATCTTCAGATGTGACGCTAGACGTCCATGATGATTTGTTGGCTTTCACTTGGCGTCTACATTTCACCTATCTTTGTCACCACCACGGTACTCTTTGTGACATGTAAACTAGCGCAACCTATTCCTGTGTACCTCTCCTTCTCTTTGTGATCGATTTAGCACTTGTGATAGTTATGTCTGGTAGGGTTCATAACACCTCCATTCTGCACTATTCCTTTCTGTGCTGATTTGTCACATATGTGAGTTAGTTGAGTGTTTACACCTTGCGCCGGTATCTTTTCTATAAAATAACATTATTCAGCTTAACCCCTTCATTCCGCAACTGCTTCTCCTCTGATGAGTTCCCCGTCATCTTTACGGAACGAAACAAGACTTGTCAGGAGTAATAGTATACTACTTGCTTTCGTGGAGTGTGGCTGGTGAACTGTTCGTGCTGTTGTCTGCAAGCGTCGTGTGGTCTCGTCGGGTCAAATGAAAAACCTATTACCAAGATGTTTGCTTGACTGATTTTCAAATGGGAACAGAATGCAGTGCTCTATCAGTGTCTTGATGAGATGTTTAGGTCCTGTCCAACTCCAGAGGTTTATCTTGGGCCCTGAGTTGCCTGCTTCCTAGTGGTGCTGTATGTTTGTGGAAATCCTCCAGGGTTCTAGCCAAGAAAGAATTGTGGGGGGGGGGGGGGGGGGGGGCAGGGGGAAACAAACAGTTCGCCCATTTTTCCATATTCCACCATTGCCTTGTCACACAAAATGCAACGTTCGACCGCAACGAGCACCCGGAACGATTGATTTGAGGCCGCAATTTCGTTGTGTGAAATGAAAAAAAAACAAATATCGAAAATTAGTGGTGAAACGAATGTCAAAACCTACTAGTCGAATATTCTTCAGCTTAACGAACGAATGAACGAATATTCTTTTGGTAACACAGATTACATCACATGCCCTCCTCTCAGTCATTTGATGGATATTGTCAATACTAATATATTTTTTAGGTATGACAAACGGTAGTGCCACGTAAAATATACTGCCACATAAGGCTACTTCGAAGTTCATAAATGTTATGTGCAACATTGGCAGTCCAGTATGGACATACATGTGCATGCATGCAGTACAAAGTCACAGGCAGGCTGTACACACTGCACTGTACCGTGTTCGGCGTCCATGTATGTACATGCACTGCATTCGAAGTGACGTAACGAATACTCGAATGTGACTTAACGAATATTCGAATGTGACAAACCGAACGAATGTTCGAATATTTGAATATTCGTTTCACCACTATCGAAAATGAGTAAGGCCACGCCATCAGGATAAGGGGCCCTGTGCCGCCACCCCCCCCCCCCCCCCCCCCCCCCCCCTTTGGCTAGAACCCGGTCCTGTTTGTTCATGACTTTGACATGATTGTCTGCTGGTGTTCTTGCGTGCTGGTGTATTCCTCTGTAGGTGTTCCTGGGTACGTCTATTCTCTTAATCACCTGGATACCAATCAAGATTGTCAAGTGGATACTTCCATCTTTCCTGCCTTTCGTTGTCTCCAATGATCGGTGAGTCTGTTGTTCTTCTCCAGCTTGCTCGTGCCACTGTTTCCCCTCAGGATTCTGTCTTATATTCTGTCTCTCCGTACCTGTCTGTCTGTGTGTCTGTGTCTATATCTCTATCTGTCTGTCTGTCTGCCTGTCTGTCTGTCTGTCTGTCTGTCTGTCTGTCTGTCTGTCTGTTTCACTGTCTCTGTCTGATCTGTCTGTTTGTCTATTATCTGTCTACACGTATGATCACTGCACCGTGCAGTACTGCCACAAGGTAGCGCTTACCACTGAGACCACTGAGGCATGAACTGAGATGTAGCTGAAAGAAAGAAGCGGAGAGTACTGTATCTATAGACATGGTTGCTTGCTTGTGAATAGGATTTTCGGTCTTTGACCACTTTGCTGGTGGGTTTGATCTACCGTAATGTCGCGTGCATTAGCCGGGGCTTATATGCCTATAAGCCGGTGATGGAGTCAGGCTTGTACACAAGACAGGCTTATACACGAGACAGGCTTATATGACAAGCACCACTCAATGACCAGGCTTGTATGCGCAAACTGCTGACTTTTGGACGTCAAAACCAACATTTTCCAACGGGATTTTTTTTCTTTTTTTTCCGCTGCATGGCCGTCGAGCGCAGCTGGTGTTGATTTCCGCATCTTCCCACGTTTTCCGCGTGTGCAAGTGTACGGTACCATGCAAACATGAACATGTAAAAGGCGCGCTCACCAGTCTTGCGTAGTAGCCCGGCTTACGCACGCGACACGTGGCGCGTCTCGTGTACTGGCCCGGCTTATGCATGCGACAGGCTTGTACGCGAAAAGCTGTTGCAGATTTCATGCTTCTACACGAGACAGGCTTATGCACAAATCCGGCTTATGCACGCGACATTACGGTACTCACCTCCCACCGCTTTAGGAGGTGCACCTGTGCCTTTGATCTTTGCAGGGTGGTGGCGTTCCTAGTAGTTCCTACGGATGCTGAAAACTCAGTCTAACTGATTCTCACGCAAACTGTGAATTTGTTTGCATGCTTGTTGTCTAACCATGCCGTGCACACATGCACGCCTACACACATGCAGTGCTAACCATGCCCCTTGCTACTGCTCCTCTCTCTCCCTCTCTCTCCCTCTCTCCTCTCTCTCTCTCTCTCTCTCTCTCTCTCTCTCTCTCTCTCTCTCTCTCTCTCTCTCTCTCTCTCTCTCTCTCTCTCTCTACAGGCCTGCGGACACGGAGGGCATGTACGTGGACGTTGCCATCCTGCACTTCATCCTGGCGGTGGTGTTCGACAATCGCCACACGCGATTCCTGGTGCACGGCTTCGTCTACCTGTGGTGCCACGTCGTGGCCCGCCTGCTGGGCCTGCGCAGCTACTTGCTTGGTCTGCCCCAAGACGACCAGCAGCAACAGCAACAACAAGATGAGCCAGTGGCACCAGGCGCTGAGCAGCAGCAGCAGGAGCAGCCTGGTGTGGATGATGCCGCCGCTGCTGCTGCTGCTGCACCAGCTCGGGCTCCTGACAGGCGGCCAGGGGAGCTGCGGCCGCTGGTTTTCCAGCGCATTCACGAGCTAGCGCGGCAGGACGAAGTGTACCGCGAGCGCGAGGACTATGTGCGCCCGTCGTACTTCCTACTCCGGGTAAGCCTGCTCTTGTAACACAGGCCCCTCTCCCTCTTCCTCGCAATGGCCAAATGCATATAGGGTGTGGTTGGATAGAGATCCCGAACACTCGCGAGAACTTCTTTGTAATATATTGACTGACACACTGAAATTGAATTTGCAGACCATTGCAAACATACGGTACGGTCAGGTGCTGAAAACGGTGGGGGGGGGGGGGGGTGGCACTATCACCAGCTGCCTTCTAAAAATACTGATGAATAGTCTTCTGAAGCAGATATTGATTCTGAAGCAGATATTGATTTGTCAAAGCATTTGGACAATTAAATTCTCTCCATATGTAGTTGACTTTATTTGGAAAAATTGTCTCAACATTTTGCTCATAGTGCAAGCGCTGTCTTACTGTATAGGTGATTTTAAACGCGTGGTCACTGTGTGTGTGCATGTATGTGCATGGAAATGTGATGATGTGCCGGCGTGCCTGTCTACATCCTCTCTCTCCCTCTCTCTCTCTCTCTCTCTCTCTCTCTCTCTCTCTCTCTCTCTCTCTCTCTCTCTCTCTCTCTCTCTCTCTCTCTCTCTCTCTCTCTCTCTCTCTCTCTCTCTCTCTCTCTCTCTCTCTCTCTCTCTCTCTCTCTCTCTCTCTCTCTCTCTCTCTCTCTCTCTCTCTCTTGTGTGCCTCTTTGCCATGTATAGATACTGGCACTCGTGTCCGTGTTTATACTGAGTGTGATTGGCGTCAGTCTCTTTATCATTGCCGTTCCTGGTAAGTAAGGCTAACTTGATACTGATGCCGATGTTGATGCGGCTGCTGATGCTGATGTGGCTGCTGATGCTGATGCGGCTGCTGATGCTGATGCGGCTGCTGATGCTGATGCGGCTGCTGATGCTCATGCAACTGCCGATGCTGATGCGGCTGCTGATGCTGAAGCGACTGCTGATGCGACTGCTGATGCTGATGCTGATGCTGATGCTGATTCTACTGACTGGTGGTGGTGCTAGTGCTACTGCTGCTGTTGCTGATGATTTCACTACATGTACTGCATGTACACATTTTCATCTCTTGCTGTATCCAGCATGTGCTGATTGTGCTGCCGCCGTTTGTCCTGTAGCAATGCTGAATTCATACTACTGTAAAACAGGTTATTTTCGGTGTAACTTTAATTTCGGTGATTTCGGTAGAAATACCAGTCACCTAAATTTAAATTGCACCTAACAGGCACCAGGGCATGCACTGTATGTGAAGGGAATGCTGGTCAGCTAATTCTACACTACACCCGAAACCCATCAGGTCCCTGCCACCGAAATTTTAATACACCGAAATTTACCTGGTTTATCGTATGTGTCATACTATGTGTTGCTGTGCGTGCTCTCCGTGCAGCGTTGACCGGCCGGGCACTCACGTCGCTCTTCTTTCCGCCCGGCGAGCGCTTCGAAGGCTACACGATAGCCGTCGGCCTGAAGGCGCTGTGGCTGTTTTCCAAGCTGGCCTACGCCGTCACTGTGTCAGTGTGCCAGTACGGTGTTCGCGGTGTGCAGCGCTTGATGGCCACGGACACTCTAGGAAAGGTTAGTTGTACAGTCTGTAATCCATGAAGCAATTCCACCTCCACCACATGCGCTCTTTGGTCGACCTCATCACACCAGCAATATGACTCCAAGTGATAGAATTGCTTCGTTTTCATTGATTAACAGGCTGAAAGCTTCTGCTCACTCTTATGAGTCTTTAGTCCAGCACTTTATAAACCAGTACTACAGAGAGGTTTCAGGCTGTCCAGTAGAGTGGCCAATGCCGAAGGGCAGCTAGTTCAAACAAGAAAAAGAAGAGGATGAAAAGAATGTGTTGTCGCTCCGAGTTTCACGCAGTAAGGGGTCGTCGCAAATGTTTCCTGTCGTCCCTGAAACGAACATAGTTCATTTCGCACTTGGATCCCGTCCCCTCCCTCTGAAACGAACACAGTTTGCTATGCTGGACGACGAAAATCGCATGCATGTACATGTCAATATGTACAGTGTCGGTCAACTTGCGATTTTGGCTCGCCCTCCCTCCCTCAACGAATCATGTTCGTTTCATAGACGACAAAAAAACTTTTCCGACGACCCCTAAGCGATCTGTTGTCTGATGATCGTGTAGCGTGTGAAACTCTGAGTAACGACACATTTTTCTTCATCCTCTTCTCCTTGTTTAAACCAGTACCCCCTACAAAACAGCATTATTGTCTGTAATGAAAATGTCCTCTTCATGCACATTGCAGCAGTAAGTCAGATTTGTTAATCTAATGCCCTCCCTATTCCAGCAAATTTTCCGTAGTACACATTGTGCTGGATTATAGTGGGACCACTGTAGTGCTTCAGGGTATGATTGCATGGCTGCTGCACTGACCATTGCAGGATATCCCCAGCGCCCAATAGGTGCATGAAGGGTTCTTGTAAGGACTCTTGATGAGTACCGTAAAGTCGCGGATAAAAGCCTGGTTTTCATACAAGCACATCGCGGATAGAAGCCTGAAAATCAAACGGGTCAAATGCATATAAGCCTGTCGCGCGTAGAAGCCTGGCTTCTATGCCAGCGCGGATCGGGTAGGTCAAGAGTGCATGCGCTATGTACGGTGCATAGTAAAACTGCTGCCATACCGGTAGTCAGCGGTAGATCTACGCGTGTCGCGCGCAGAAGCCTGGCTTCTTTGTGCATACAAGCCTGGCAAAAATACCAGTGGTGCATATAAGCATGGTTTGCATACAAGCCTGGTTTGCATTAAAGCCTGGTGCAGAAAGCGGCTTGCGTGCTTATAAGCCCGGCTTTTATCCGCGACTTTACGGTAACTGGTCATGTGGGAGGGAGGGAGCTGGAGAGAGAGAGAGAGAGAGAGAGAGAGAGAGAGAGAGAGAGAGAGAGAGAGAGAGAGAGAGAGAGAGAGAGAGAGAGAGAGAGAGAGAGAGAGAGAGAGAGAGAGAGAGAGAGAGAGAGAGAGAGAGAGAGAGGGGGGGGGGAGGGGGACAGAGGGAGGGAGGGAGGGAGAGAGAGGGAGGGAGGGAGAGAGAGGGAGGGAGGGAGAGAGAGCACATGGAAGGAAGATGTAGGCTAGGGAATGACGACAGTGCCTTCTGCCTTCCCGTGTGGTTTTTTCCATGATACTGGCACCTTCTGCCTTCACCATAGTACCATCCATGACGCTGACACCTGCCTTCACCATAGTACGTGGTGCTTTGTATCACTTGCATGCCTTGTCATTTCGTATCGGGTTTTTTTTCGTTTGCATACAGTGTTATTTCGTCGTCCTAATTTTTTGGGTGCATTCGTTTGTGTCTGCGTCTTGTGTGCTTGTGCGTGCCTGTACGTATGTGTGTGTGTGTGTGTGTGTGTGTGTGTGTGTGTGTGTGTGTGTGTGTGTGTGTGTGTGTGTGTGTGTGTGTGTGTGTGTGTGTGTGTGTGTGTGTGTACATGCGGTGTGTGTGTGTGTGCCTGTGTATATTGGCTGAATGTGCACACGTCTACACAGATCCTGTACTGCCTGTTTTTCTTCTTTCTGACGTTTGGCCTGCTGTCATTTCTGGTTGGCATGGCCGTGTCTCTGATGGCTATGCCGCTGGTCGTCTTGCCAAACCAGACACCCACGTTTCCCTTTCACTACACGCTGGTGAGTCCCACATGTACATGGGTGTTGTATCACGTGTCATTGGTTTATACGCCGACCAACTGGCTGTGCTGAGTCTCTTTGGAATACAGTCAACCTTGCGAATAACGACCCCCGGCCTCGGTGGTGCATGAGAAAAGTATCATTGTTCGCGCGTTGTCATTATTCATGAGGTTTAAAGTATGCAGTCTAATGCTGACTAGGTCTTAAGACTGTGTCGTTATTCATACAGTGAAACCTGTCTAAGACGACCGCTCAAGGGTCCTCCAAAATGTGGTCTCTGTTACCAGGTGGTCTCCTAATCCAGGGTCATTTGACTGGAAATAGCATCCCTTGGTCCTAGTTCCAGTGGTCTTCTAGGACAGGTGGTCGCCTTATCCGAGTGGTCGCCTGGACAGGTTTTACTAGTTGTGATACCCAAGGCTGGTATTCACTAGGTTGACTGTATGCATGTATATATACCTTTATCAGTCTCAGCCTGGTTTCTGCATGCTTGCACCGAGTTTCTTTCGTCATGTAGCCCAGCACTTTTAGTGGTTACTCATCTTTTTCACTGTTTGTGTGGACGTGTGTGTGTGTGTGTGTCTGTGTGTGTGTGTGTCTGTGTGTGTGTGTGTGTGTTTGTGTGTGTGTGTTGGTGTGTGTGTGAGTGGGTGTTGGTGTGTGTGGGTGGGTGTTGGTGTGTGTGTGGGTGTGGGTGTGGGTGTGGGTTAGTTGGTGTGTGTGTGTGTGTGTGTGTGTGTGTGTGGGTGTGTGTGTGTGTTGGTGTGTGCGTGCCCGTGTGTGTGTTACCGTCCTTGCTCAGGTCTTTATTTTTGGCTTTGGAATCACTAACTTTGCCGTAACTCTGCTCGTGTTCGCGCACCTGGATCTCGTGGAGGGCGCTGCTCGAGATGTAAGTGACTGCTGCATGGTGCAGTTATTGATGTGTGCCTGCTGTTGTCTCTACTTCTAACGTTACATTTACATTGTACATGCACCTAATTAATGCACCTAATGCACCTAGTTAATTGGGAACTCGTGCCCTGGCACGAGGGTAACATGGATGCAGCTAATGGGATTTCGGTCTTTGACCACTTGGTGGTGGGTCTGATCTACTCACCTCCCTTCGTTTAGGCGCTGCATCTGTGCCTTTGATCCTAGAGGGTGGTGGCGTTCCCACGGCGGATGCGGAAAACTCGGCTTCCAGCCGAGTCTCACGCGAACCGTGAAATTTATTTTTATTTATGCACCTAATGGGAATATCTTGTAACTCTACACGCACACCGTCAGGCACTAAAAAGCACGTAAAACCCCAGGGCCTGCTCTAGACATTCAACACAGCCCGGTCAGAGTGTACCTGGCGCATGCAGGCCAGCCGGGTCAAGCCGGGTCAGATCATCCAGCAGAAAAACAACCAAAAAGCCTGCTCAAAACGCAGGAAAACAGAAAGGCGAATTTATTACCGGAAATCGGAAATTTTAGAGAACAAGGCGAACTATCAAAGTCCCTGCCCGCAAACGTAGAAGGTAAACGACAAAGCGTGAGTTCTTTTTCTCTTCGCGCCGCTTTTGACTGCCTGCCCCCATCGACTTTGAATGTCCTGACTTCCTGCTCGCCGTTGGCCAGATCGCGCTAGAACCAGTTGACCCTAGCCGAGTTTCTGTCGCTTGTAGACTGTAGTGTGTAGATCTACGATTGTGCCAGATTTGCAACAGATGGGGTCCGCGAGTCGTAAACCGGTATTTTAGGAATCCATTGTCAGTTTGAGACATTTTTCAGCCAGGTCAGACTGGACCCGGTGTTATCTGTTCAGCCAGGTCGTGCAGTTCCCCAGCCGGGCGCGTGACCCGGCTGACCCGGCTCTCCAGCAGGCCCTGAACCCGAGCCTCGGAAGATGCCTACACGATAGAAGTGGAGGAGATACTGCCAGTGAATTGTTTTCTGACAACATTCCACCATGCGACCTGCACCTGGATTTATCATAATTATTCTGGCAACTGCCCTGCTGTGTTTTGGCATGTGTGCCGGGGTGTGTGTGTTTGTAACTCTGCTGAGTTCACTTTCTGTGCACACTGCGTCGTGTCTGGAGTGCCAGTAGTCGTTAGCAGCACCACTGCACTAGCAAGATAGTGTGAGGGTGAGCTGCCGTCAACTCGTTAGTGAATGCTGCGCAGGTCTCTCACGCACTAGAGGAAGATGCCCTGTGCAAGACTGTCCATAATGCTGGTACTCCACGCCGAGGTAGTCGGCACTGATCTCCACTAGATTGGCAATTGCATTCTACGTTTTAACCGTTTTGAACAGAGCAGGGTTTGTTATTTCAGCTTATGGCAAATCAAGATCTCTTTGTGTGTGTTGGACTTTGGAGCTGCAGTTGCAATTCTCGTTTTAACCATGATGAACGGAGCAGGATTTGTTAATTCAGCTTATGGCGCTTTCAAGATCTCATCGTGTTTGTGTTTTTGTTTTTTTTGGTCAACTTTGGTGCTTGTCCCGCGCAGCACCGTAACATGTTCCTTCACTTGCTGCACATCATCACTGTGTCTGACGTCGTGCGTGGTCACATCATCAATGCCGTGCTCAGCGTCATGGCCTTCATCTGCGTGCCGTACACGCTCACCCTGGGTCCTCTCAAACTACTCGGTGAGTAGGGCAAGTGCTAGACTGCTAGTGGTGTACATGAACTTTGCTGTGGCTGCTCCGATTTTTCTTTACCAAGCAGACAGCACGATCATGATTAGTCAGTGGTGCCTTCTTAAATGACCAATTGACCGGCTCGTGACGAAAGTCGTAATTAAGTCATGCTGAAGTCATGATGACAGACCATCAGGGCTGGTGACCTGGTGAACAGCTCATCCACTGGTACCGGTCTGGCCAGAGAATTTCTACCTCATGACATGAGTAAAGTAGCTCCGAGTGGTGTGTGTGTGGTGCTAGGGCTGCGTAGCCCCCAGTGCGATTATATTCATGAGGTTGGATTCCTCAGGCCAGGAGGACTGCTCAACACCAGCATGTTTCTGTTGACATTGGTCGAATGTATAATGTTGAGCCACTCAGCCAGCTTTAGTAGAAGCTTTCACTCATCCTGCACATGTGCGGTGAGTACACAAGTCAGGAATGGAACGAGGCTGAAATATGTTGTTACCCAAAGCTTCTTGTGTCTTCTGGCTCTGCCCTCGCGGTATTGAGCACCTTTGCAAGGATTTAGCAACATATCTGCACCTTTGATCTTGGCAGAGTGGTGGCGTTCCTACCGATGCTAAAAACTCAGTCTAATCCGAGTCTCAAGCGAACCGTGAATTTTTTAGCAATATAGCTTGTATTGTGAGTGTGGGGCTGTGTCTGCGCTGCTCGTGATTTCATACTTGTGCGTAGCAGTGCTTCACATCATTGCTCTGACTGACCTGACTTGGTGCATGTGTGCTGTATGCGACGTACGACATGCAGGTGCGTCGCTCGAGACGCAAACGCTCGTCATGAAGAACGTCTACTTCCTGATCGCGTCGGCGATGTTCGCCGCCGTCTTCATGGTGGCGTTTGCGAGTTCTCTCTACAAGGCTTGCATCACGCTGCACGCCAATATGAAGAAGGAGAGGTGAGCCATGTCGTAGTCCATGTTCCTGTGCTTTGAGAAATTTGACTCTTTTAAGATAAGACCAGCAGTGCTTTGGCACTCATATTATTATTTAGCTATCTGTCCTGGACATGGAAATCCGATCGAATGACGCGGGGCCGGCGCCGGCAGTGCGCACTGAACGTTGCATGCAGTGCACGCGTTGATCGTATGCGTACTCGCGGCTGCATGACACTGTATTGTCAGTGCTGCTAAATAATTTCCCCTGGAATCGGACACCCTTTTCAGGCCAGATGCCTGATGGGTTTTTTTAAACGGACATTTTCCCCATGTGCTTGGGCAGACTGAGTGTACTAGACTCTACTACTAGTGTTCGCACATTGCCATTGTACTGTTGCGCATATGCACACACACGTGTGCACCTCCCCCCCCCCCCCCCCCCCCCCACACACACACACACCTTGGACCTTGGACACACTGCCATATTCTGGCTATGCGGACCCCATGGGGGGGGGGGGGGGTTGAGCAGATTCGGAACAGTAGGGGCGATGACGGGATAGGTCCTGTGGTCTACTGAAACGCCGACCGCAATTGCAAACGATGCAGAAGGAGCTACACACACACACACACACACACACACACACACACACACACACACACACACACACACACACACACACACCATACCCCCACAAACTTTGGGTTTCCTGTCGAAATCAGAAAATTCTTTATCGGATCGGTTCTGGCTGGAGGGTGAATTTGGCAGCATTGTATTGCTGTGTGTGTTGTGTGTGTGTGTGTATGTGTGTGTTGTGTGTACGTGTGTGTGTGTGTGTGTGTGTGTGTGTGTGTGTGTGTGTGTGTGTGTGTGTGTGTGTGTGTGTGTGTGTGTATGGGTGTACGTGTGTGTGTGTGTGTGTGTGTGTGCGGGCGGGCCAACGGTGGGCGTGTACATGACTACATGTGCTGCTTTGATCTGTTTGCTTTCTACCCACAGGTATTTAAATGGCTTTCAATTGATGAACTATGAGCCGCAACGCTAGCTTGTGTCTAATCATACGCCGCACATTAGCTGTGCATATTTTGGCCAGGGATATTATAAAATTCTTTGCGGGTAAGATGGCCATTGCATCCCCCGCTTGTCATAGGATTTATTCTGCTCATAAATTGTTTTAAGGACAAAACATAACTTTCATAGAACACACATACACACCTGTCCCATTTTTGTACATACTTGTACAGTTCTTGTATCTCTTCTGAAGTACTTTTTTGTATTATCTACAGTGTCATCATTCATGTTTGCTAGCCCATCTCATGTTGTATTATTCTATTGTAATGATATGATCGTGTATTTCTCTCTCTCTCTCTCTCTCTCTCTCTCTCTCTCTCTCTCTCTCTCTCTCTCTCTCTCTCTCTCTCGCTCACACGCCCTCGTGCCGCACTTGCTTGTGTGTGTGGTGCTCTGCTTTGTGTTGTTGAGTATACTAGTACTTGTTGCGGGCAATGTTGATGGGGAACTCATATTGCCTTCAGTATCAGCTTGCTGGAAACATGTACATGTATGAAACTCGGCGGCATTGTATAAAGATGCAGTCTTCTTGAACCCCACTGCCCACTACCCTTCGCCATTCAATTTGTATTATACTCATTGCCATACCCATTTGTTCATACTTCAGAATAGTTCCAAGTTTACTTCAGAATAGTTCCAAGTTTCTCAGTTGTGTGTATTTGGTTTTATATTCTCACACCGCTGCGTGTAAGATACTCCTGCTGCTGCTGCAGCGTCATCGAATAAATGCCTGCGACTGTTTGATTTCCTTCCAGCCGTTGTTGACCGTGGTGTCTAGCGAGTTTACTATGTCCTGGATGTGTTGTCCGCTGTCCTCACTCGTCACGGTTGTGGCCGCTGTGCACGGTACACCTCCCGGTGCTGCAGCGTGATCACTGATGGCGCCAGCAGCAGCAGCATGCCTCACCAGCTGCATGTTTGAATTATCATAAATTTTTTATTTATGATTGTGTGTTACTATGAGTGCATCGTAGCATCGAACTCTTACTAAGGTGTTAGATGCGTATTTCAAGTACTATTGTTAGATGCAGCATGCACCAAGTGCAAGTTTCCCTCATGCTGAGCACATGACGGTCGGCACAACTGCTCATCCCTGATCTTACAGTGCTGCTTCCAGGCCAGTCAGAAGTGCTACCAAGTGTGTTACATGCCTTACCGTGTACGTGTAACGTTATAATCATGGGCAAGAGTAGATAAAGAACTCTGGATCTCTTCTGCACAATCTGCAGATACCCCGGCATGCGGCGTAATTTTTTGTTGACGTCACCTTTTTTCTTCATCAGAAAAACGCGCATTTTGCCGCAGAGCAGTGTGAGAGCACGTGCTGGGCACCCACCTTGCAATGTAAAGCCCGGCCCAGTGCACGAGGCGAAACTTTCCAAAAGACTCGCAGCGCGTGCGCCGTCGAAAAGATTACGTCAACAAAAAATCCCGCCGCGGGCCAACCCATCCCGGAGTTGCACTCTCTGCTCTTCTTGCTAATCTACTCTTGTTATGGGCAATAACTTCCGTATGAGTAATGACTACCCGGTAGGTACATATGTGGGTGCATGTGCACAGTAAAGCAAGTCCAACGGCCAGGGAGTAGTAAGTTGACATCAGATTTCTATTTTTGGATCCACTAAGGTGTGACTTTGCTATTGCCTAAGTATGTGGGTGCATAGCAACCCACTCATGTCGCATGCAGGTGTGACTTTTATTTCGCCACCAGTTGTAACCCCGCCCCCAGTAGCCAAATCAGTCAGTTTCACTGGTTACATCACCTTGCTGAGAGTAAGACGGCTTGAAATGTGCTTGGATCCATACAAAAACTGGATCCAAGTGGATCCAATTTTTGAATTTTTGAAATTGTAGCTATGCTGTGACGTAGCACCCACATTTCAATTAGGGAGTCGTCAAATACCGGTATTTGACGGCTCCCTGGTCGTAACATACATGATATTCTACCGTTTCTACGACTCCCTGATTTCAACTAATTCTTGTTAGCACACAGCATTGGCAAATCTCCACTTCGTAATGGGGTATTCACACGACAGGCAAATCCACGTGCACCGGAAAGTTGCAGGGAGTGACATACGAGAAAAGTGACTGTGGATTCACAGAGCTGCACTCCACTCGACGACAGGCACGTTTGCATTTTTGAATGCTTCACCGACCAGTAGCCATGGGTATTTCAAATTTTCAAAACACACATACGATAATTATCATGCTCTACAAGAGCCGCGTAAAAAATCAAGTCTTGTTTCGCGCTTTTTGGTGTAAATGTACTCGTGCATGCCACGATTATCGTGAAAGTGGGCCCCCCAGCTCGCTTTCACTTTTCAGCTACTTTCAGGCACTTTTCTCGCTCACAGGTAAAATACCATAGCAACTTTCCGGTGCACGTGGATTTGCCTGTCGTGCGAATACCCCATAAGCAGCCAATTTTTCATAAAATTGACTCCAGCAAGTGCACAAAGCAGGCAGAAGTAGCAAGTTACAAAAGTCTTAGAATTTACACTGTACTTGGACGCACATTGTACACGCTTGACTCTCGGCACATATTGTTTGTCAAAGCAAACGCACACACACACACACGCGTACACACACACACACACACACTGGAAGGCTCTACAGTGGTACTGCCGCAACTGAACAACTAGCAACAATGTGTCCGCACATGGCAGCAATACAATAGTAACTTAGACAGTAAAGAAAAGACGAAGATAACTAGAACATGAGTAGCAACCGAGATAGAGAAAATTAAAAGCTATCTACACAAAAAATTACTTCTCACGTACGCAAAAACTTAATGACAAATACGCCAGTGGGAATGAAGTAAAAATCAGCTGATAGGTAAAGGCTATTTTTCATGACATGATCGGGCAAGCAATTTATGAAGCAGGCAGGGAACAGATCGCTCCGGCTGCATATCTGTGACACCTAACCTTGTAGAGGAGAATGGTTCTGGAAATGTATGGTTTTCGGCTTGCTGTCTGGCATGTGTATGTATGCGACCGTCAAACACAAGGACACACAGATAAACATGTCACCACGTGGTCTTACACTCCTTTTGTCCTATTCGCAGCGAGAAGCATCGCCCGCGCGTACAGCACAACCTACCTCTGGAACACACTTGACTCGACGAAAGCTGCGGGGCTAACTATAGGGCTGGTACCCCCATGGGTCAGCACGTCTCTTCTTCTCCGAACGTGTTCTCACCACTGTACGCGATATATAGAAATCCATCTGCGTCCTTGTGCTCGTCGTAGATGGAGCCCATATTGGCGCTGAGAAGAAAAAGAGAAGAAAAAGAGAATAATTAGACTCAGGTGCAATGTTATCGCATGAGCTGATCATAAAGCAACTGGTGGTGTCAGTAACTTAGTGGATATCATAGCGTATCTTGTAGCTCTTTGGTCCTCTTTTCTTCTTACCGGTATATTAAGGTGGCTCACGCCTATTTCAAAAAAATTAACGATTGCTCTGAAAATTTGGTGGGCGGTTGCTCTTAGGTAGTGTATGCAAATGGCGAGTTAAAAAAACGGGGTCTCAATGCTAACTTTTGAGATATAGGCGATGACAATTTCACTAAATTGTCAAATTTGTACAGGATTTATGATGTATAGCGGATGGGTATTTCATCAAGAACCTGATTTACAATCTTCCTCATTTTTTGGTTATTGAATGGACTAACTGTGTACATGCCAATGAGAAAATAAAAAACATATGCTTCAATGCTCAATTTCGCCATATAGGCGCAGAATGCCATTTTGATAAGTTTGCTTTGGTGCATGTACATGCACACCTACATATCCCATGTACATGTCCATATACATCTACCCTTCTCTACTAGCCCACCCAACCCTGCAATACACATTGACACAAGTGTACACACACATACCACACACAAACACACACACACACACACGCATACATGCAAACACACACACGCATACATGCAAACACACACACACACACACACACACCTGTCCTGTCGAGCCACTACCACTAGGGTCACGTGGGCCCCGGAGGGGCAGCAGAGAGAGAGAGAAAGAGCACGCCACCCGGTGGCGCTCCAGACACACACACGCACACGCACACACACACATCTTTGGACCTTTGGAAAGCCCATCGTCAAAGGCGATGATAGCTATTAGGCGAGGCAGAACACACACACACACACACACACTACTACTACTACTACTGCTACTGTAGCATGGTTGCCCAAGGGCCACACCATTCCGAAAGAAGCCGGAGTCATTGTCAGGAGCAGAAACGGAGATGACGACTCAGGTCACTCTGTCGACGGAACTGACGGCTGCAGCGAGAACAGCGAACACAATATGACGCTCTGTCAGACTTGGTTGCCCGATGGCCACGGTCGCACATGTGACGTCTGAAACCAGGCACTGACTTGAATTGCCGATTGCATGTCAAACACAAGAGAGAAGCATGGACGCTGAGCGGAATAGATGATGCCGGCGCGGACACTTTCGATGGTTCCAGGGGCAAACAATGATGCACACGCAGGCCACCACGAGAGTGAAACCACCTTCTGCATGTACCACACTGCACAGCACCACGCTGATCCTGGATGGGGAGACTTTGCTCTGCGCCACATTTGTGCCTTGTTTGTCACCTGGCTGGCGAAATGACCGATGGCAGATAAGACAGGCCACCCGCCAGGCAGACCTATCCTGAGCAACCTCATACCAGGCCAGACAGACAGACACACACACACAACCACACACGCACAAACGTGCGTGTAAACAGGGACTAAACACACACACACACACACACACACAAGGCACACACATGATCGCACGCCTGCAGACCATCGCTCCAATGAAGATAAGATTACTACTTCTTTGCGTAAATATGTTTGAGATAGAGTGTCACTCTTAGATGTGACTGATGCCATCAACCAATGTCAAGGAAAAAAATTCACGGTTCGCGTCAGACTCGGCTAGAGGCCGAGTTTTCCGCATTCGTAGGAACGCCATCATCCTTCAAGGATCAAGGCGCAGATGCAAGGAAAGAATGTGTTCAATCTTCTTCTGCACACGTAGAAATAGGTTTGGGCATTTTCGATGATTTAGAATGTACGTCGCGTGAATATGACAATGTGACAGAGGCAGCCACAATTTACTGATTACTGTGCATTGATCTAGCTATATACACTGCAAGTGCACTGTAAATATTGTGTTACATGCACGTAGTTGTGAAGGGAGACAGTGTACATGTACATTCACCAATGACACACCTGTCAGACAGCAGGTTAGGGCTAGTCAAAGTTATGAAGGCACAATATACGATACAAAGGCACAATTTTGCGATGTACTTGAGTTTGTGAATATAATAGTGGACTTTGTGTTCACACATACTCTACCAAATTGCCATGCACACCCTTGTAACACACACACACTTGAGCCTGGGGAGCATGATTGCTGTCAGCCAGTGTTGCTTTCAAATGCTTATTCTCGTCAGGAGTGATGTGAAACACATACTGGTAAATATCAATCTCTAAAAAATGCATCCTAAATAAAACGCTCAAGCACTGAGTCTAGTCAGAGTGATAAGACAATAAATTGAAGGAATTTCTCAACAAAAATTCAGTGTACCGCTGTGATCAAGCCGTGGCAATAACTATAGTAGAGTTCTTGGTGGACAGCGATTACCATAAAGAAATGGTGAGATACTACAGTAGCACCCTCTACTGACACAATGCAACCACGTTGTCCAGTACATGTTCGAATCAAAAATACTTTCGTACATTCGTGACCATTTCAATTTATATTCAAGCGCGACCTCCACAATTCACTGGCTTCAGAGTCGATTGATCATTATAGAACGGCCATTCTTGACAAAATAGTCAGACAAATTTTGCGAAGAATGGCGTTCTACTGTGGAAGGGACTCGCCAAGTCACTTGAACCAATTCAACGAAAATACAAAATACTCAGGTTTTACACATTCACGTACCCGTCTGTGCCGTCCCCCATTCCTTCCAAGACATCCACATAGACTCCAACGCTTTTATTCTACTCTTTTTCCGAAGCCGACCATGGGCATGGGCAGTGCCTGCTGGAAGGGACATCCCAACACTTCTCTGACAGGTGACAATTTCCACAAGTAAAAAATGCACCTAAAAAAAAGTAGCCAAGTGAAGGAGTGAAAAAAAGAAGAAAAAAGCTCACTCTCTAGACTCGAGTACGAGAGTTTCGTACTCAGGCCATCTGCTCGAGCTGGACCCTTCGAAACTGGAGTGCGCTACAAGCTCGCTACGCCAACTCCGCATGCACTTTTCTCGAACGTAGGATGCGCGAGAACCTGCGCAGAAGACGAGTTTAGAAATAGGCGCGAGCCACCTTAAAGAAAATAGATTGCCATTTCTGCCTGCCATGTGTTTTTGTCACCCTTTTCTTTATTCTCACACTGTTGTTGCTGATTGCACAGCTGTAAAGCAATTCAACCATGCAGTTCAGGACACAAGCAAGCGGGAGGTAGTTCCACAAGTCTATGCATATTCAACACGCACATCCACACAAACAAGCGCACGCTCAGTATTACAATACAACCCCGATTATCAAGTATGAGGGTGTGCAGTGTTCGGTTGTGTACAAGCTGTTTTCGTCAGCATATTTTATTGTTGATGCACAAACTGCGTATGCGTACATAGACGACATACGGTGCACTATTCTAAACGCGCATGCACGGCTGTGTTGGAATGCACCCGTGCTGATTCGCTATCTATTCAGTAGCACCATGCTTGTCGGAGAATGCTTTTACCAGTGCTGAAAAGAATCCATGGCATGGATATTAGAATGCCCTGGACTTTCTTTCTGCATATCTTCACATCCGAATCCCCCCCCCCCCCCCCCCATGAAGGGATTCTGTCCAGAGGGTCGGAAGAAACTTCAAAGCTACAGCAACAGCTTGCGCCAGTGTGCAAATTGTTCTGCGCTGCACACACGAGCAAGGTCACCACAAAGACACGAATGCGAAATCCATTAGAGTCACTCAAGTACACGCCGGGCGCTGTGCAGCCCTAGACCTGCGAACACCGGGCTGAGAAATGGTGCAGGGCGCAAACTTGACTCACACGATTGGATTTCATTGAGCAGCACTGTGCTGATAAGAGGCAACTGATGAATGAATGCATAGTTGAGTTTTCAAGAAGCAAGCTCACCTTGTCGTTGGTAGAATCTTGTTCACAAATAAGAACATGGACTTCTCCGGAGGCAGCATAATTCTTTTCCGGATGATGTACATGAACTGTGCAACTGCAAGTAAAAACAATGAACGCGCGCGAGCGTGACACACACACACACACACACATACACACACACACACATATCAACATGCATAGCCGCATGGTCCAGCACAGCTTTCAGCTCAATGCATATACACATGCACGCAGCATGGAACACGATCGAGCTGGATTCCACACAGAGACCAGAACATGTGCGGCTGCTTTACGCTGCTACTCCTACTCCTTGTACATGTTGAGAGACTAACACCGTGAAAGCCACACTAGTAATAGTCACACTGCTGTACAAACCAATGCCCATATGCAATCAACCATTTGGAGTGCATGGTTCGAAATGAATGTGCAGTGAACGGGTCATTTTTTTGCTGATTTCTCGCGCATCAGAAAAGTGCAAATTTGGTTCAAAGGTGGAATTAGCCACGTCGAAATTCCTGCCCTCATTGTTAAAATATGTACTAGCACTAGCAGGCTTCAAGTTCTTTAAATTTTTTTGATGTGCAACAAAAATGCTTTTATACCCACTGCAAAATGCAGAGGATAGTGTAGAAGAGCCTCCTACCAAGAGTACGTAGGGCCACACGTTTTTATTTCTATGTTTCTCGTCACCTGAAAATCTAAAAACGTATGCGAGAGGTGGAAAAAAATAAAAAAATGACCAAAAATTAAAAAAAGTTTACTAGACCTTTGTTCACACTAAAACCCACCAATACACCATGCAAAATAGCGTCCATAGTTAGCAACTAGTATGTGGTAGGAGCTTCTATCACAGTCTGTGCATGTGCAGCTAGATTGCCCACAAAAAATGCCGACCTCGCATCATGTGTCACGCAGGCCAGGCCACATTATGTACATGTGCATGAGTGTGCTGGTCCCCACATGCACAGTCAGGGCAGCATAGTTTTTTTTCTTCCAGACTCCTGAATCGTATGCGCGCGGGTGACGAGAAACATAGAAATAAAAACGTGTGGCCTAAACCAGAATCTGCAGCTCTGGGAGAATCATCCCATGGTGAAGTTTTTGCTCAGGTCATAACGGCTCATCTTTGCTGCATCTCAGACCCCGCCATGCCGTAGGTTCAGTGCTAAATCACTGCATCTCTAAAGCGGGATTCACAGAAGCTTTTTTGCGATGCGACACGCGATGTGACGCGATCTGCGATGGACGCGTGCGATGCGAACTCGCGAAATACCATTCACAGAAGAAGTCAGCGATGCGACAAAGTCTTGCTGATTTGGGTACGTCACCATGATATTCGCGCGGTTTGATACAACTTGTACACATTTATAGGCAACTCTTGAACCTTTGTACAACTTTGCTGTAGAAAAGGTCAAATCGTACGCCAAATCGCTTGTCGCATCGCATCGCAAACGTTGAGCCAAGCTCAACTTCTGCGATGGCCTGCGATGGCCCAGTTGTAGGGACCCGGCAAATATGCCGGCACTAAATCGAGCATTTTAGGGTGCAAAAATCACACGAGCATAATCGGTGATTTCGTGGGCATAATCGGCTGGTTGCTGACGTTTGTCGAGTGGATAGTGCGGATGAGGAGGAGGCTGAAAGTGAAAGGGATGAGAAAAGCAAGAAGGTGGTTTCTCTGCTGGACAAGCTGAAACCAGCAAAGCATCTGAACTTGCCAGAGCCAGAAAACAGAAAAAGAATAATTTTTTGTTTCCTTTATATTTGAGAATGCATCTTTTTGTGTTGGATGCGAAGAAAGACCTGGATTTCAAGCGAAAATTGGTGAGAATTTCTGGGAAATATCGGCATGGTTTCAGGCATTATCGGTTTGTTTGAAAGAATTGCGAGAAAGCATGATGGGAGATTTTTCGAGCATATTTGCCCGGTGCCTACCCAGTTGCGGCAGTTGCGTGGGGTGCGACATGGCTGCGATTTGGGGTTTTCCCGGTTTCGCGTCTGTCGCGAAGGTGATATTAGATGGGAAAATCGCGTCCGTTTTCACCTTTTGTACGACAAGCAGCAATGTGCAACAGAAATTACGTTGGTGATAAGGTAAACAAAGGTGAAAACGGACGCGATTTTCCCATCTAATATCACCTTAGAGATGCAGTGATTTAGCACTTACCTCCGGCATGGCGGGGTCTTCTGGGAGTCATGGTGATCGTAACAGAACAAAACAAAAATTCTTGTTAAGATTTTGCTTATTCTTCCCTAGCTTGGAGAAATCAATTTCTATCTTGAAATGATATCCAATTTCACAAACTTACCGGTCAAATC